TTATGGCCAGGCCATCTATCACTGATTCTGCCCCTTGGTTCATTTCTTCCTTGAGCTGGCTTTTTAATCACTAGCAAGCTGAAGCAGGCACACTGGCAGTTTCAAGGGCATTCTCTGCTCTGACAGATCTTGCTTTGAAAAGACATTTCCCTAGAACACTCAGCTGCCTGCTAGGCATGTTGAGTTCCAGTTCATGCCACTAACAATTCCCCCACCCCTCATGCTTGCTTGCTTGCTTGCTTTCTGCCTAGATACTGCTCTCTAAGCAGGCACTGAGCAAGGTGTCTTGTTACAATTGTGGCTTCTTTGTGGTTCACAGAGCCAGGAGCAGAGAGGGAGACGGCTGCTGGGCTTAATTTGTGGCCATTCAGTAGGAAAACAAGTTTAGTGTGCCTAAGTCTGTCTCTGTCTCTCTGTCTGTCTTCTCTCCCTCTCTCTTTCTCTCTCTGTGGATTGGAGGTGGGAATGTGGAGAGGGCTGGGGCCCGGGGATCACATTTCATTGTGACATCACTGGTCCTCATTCCAAGCAGAGATGCAGCCAAAATAATCCATTGGAAAAGGCAAAAATCATCCAGCATAACCCGGCAGAAGGGGATATTCAGGAGACATTCGAAGCAAGATTTTGAATCAGCCACAGGCTTTGCGAAGTCTGAGATAAGGTAAGTGCTTTCAACCACTGGCTCAAAGCACAGGTAGCATAAGTTTTGCCAGATTTAAAATACAGGGTCCTTTGGAACTACACTATCTAGTATATATTGAGTATGTTAAGGAGCTGGAGTGTTCTCAAAAGATGAATGAGGGGTACATTATGAGGATTTTCTGGATTAAAGCAATTCAAATCAGACAGACCATTTAAAATAAGAAAGGGTTATATAGTGATATCTATTCAGCTTCTGATGCTTTCAGAAGTTTTTCCTCCAAGTTAACTGCTCAGTTTCCTGAGAAATCCTTAAATCTCAAGGTAACCTTAAGATTTCTGAAACCCTTGGAATCATTTCTGGAAATGTTAGTATCTCAGACTTGGCTCCAGATTTTCACTCACGGGAGATACATATCCATGGAAGCACTTAAACACTGGTTAGATAAACATCTGTCAGAGATGGGGCAGGTCCAAGGAATCCAGCCTACAAGCGAAGCATGGAGCAAGTGGCCTCTAAAGTCCCTGCTAGCTTCATGTCTCAGTCACTGACTATTCAACATTCTTTGAGAAAGTTGTAGCCAAAGCTGAGCAAAGTTCTGAACCGGCACAGCAAAAATAAGACAACCAAGAAGATGCTATTTGTTCAGAACAGCAAAAATGTACTCCACTCATTCTCACCAACATTTAATTTCATTATGTAGTTTAACCTGGCAGCAAATATTCCCCCTCAGACACTTTTAACAGAATCTTAAGGCACAATCCTATGCATATTTCAACAGACAAAAGTCCTACAACATCCAGCATTCCACAGTCAGTGATGCTAGCTGGGGAACTCTGGGAGATGCAGGACGTTTTTCATCCAAAAATACATAGGACTATTGCCTTAGGTTATTAGCCAAGTGTGTGAGTTGGAATACTTTATTATTGTTATCATCATCATCATCATCACCCCACACCATCATCAAAATCATGTGTGCCCAAGGTCTATCATGCTGATGGAGGTGTTGCTTGCAATACTAGCTTGTATTATCATTGTGGCTAGCCAGCTCAAAGTCTGGTATGAAACATGCATGTCTGCGGTTAGGAGAGGGCTGGTGGAAGAAGAGAGAGTAGAGGAGAACAATTTGGGGAAGGGTTGACTGTCACTAGATGGCCCTTAATGCCCAGGGCTGTGTGGAGTGCGCTTTTTATAAAGCAATAGAGCAACGTCTGGTATGAATTAGCTTTATCTAAAATCCAATGGAAATCTTACTGTATTGTTCCTATGTAATGGCCTTGTTGCTTACAGTGTTCATCCATGCATTTCTGTAATAACAGAGTGCGGTTTTATTTCCTACATATAACAAAAATTGCAAGTTGCCAATTCAGTCCATTAGAAAACAAATCTGGGTTAGCAGAGAAACCTAACAGAGATAGTAGAAAGAGAAACTGAAAAAACCTGGGTATAGGTGTGATGTAGAACAGCACAACAGTTAACTTTCCCTTTTATTAGCAAGAATATATCTCTTTGTCTAATAAGCCAAAGGAGCGGGAGGGACCTCAGACACCAGAGTTTGCAGATACATGAGGCATAAAGTGGACATTCGAATGGAAGATCTTTGTGACTCCAAGAGAAGAATCATGTTTTGGATATGATAGTAAGGGAATCTTGCTACGTGGTGATATTACACCCCAGTTATAGAATAAAAGTCCAAGGCGTCAACCTAATCTAACCATTGCGGTAAGGAGGATTGTCCACTTATTTTGCATCCTTTTCAGTCTAGAGGAAAGTATGTCATGGAAAGCAACATGTTCATAACCTTGAGTGACTTGGGTGAGCAAGCCAAATTTCATGCTTTGGAGGAACATGGGGGCACTAACTAATTGCAGCTAAGGAAAATTCTTAACGACCTCAAATGTTGTTCACAATCAAATCTATTCAGCAAAGTTTTCCAAAGGAAGTTGCTAATGAAGCACAACTCTATGCCATCCAAAGTATCTTTCTTCAACTGTGGCAAATGAATAGATTGCGGTGGTAAGAACCAAGAGTACCATATTGGAGAAAAGAGGAGAAACCTCCCTTATACTTATTGGCTGCAACTGATATACAAAAATAGCAACCACACACCCTTGTTCCCAGTTGAGAGATGTTGCTTTAAGAACAACTGTTAGATATCTGATACAATGCAACAGATGTCCCGGTACCATTGGCCACTGCATGGTTGAAATCAAGCAGTCTGTGAGATCTTGAATGAACTGGCTTAGAAAAATGATCATGGACAAGAATAACTTATTCATGGAGTGGATATTTTTGTCAGTATGACTGTTCTCTCTGTGATCCCTTTTTGGTCTAAAATAAAGCCTGTATAATATATTTGAAAGGCAAGGCTGGAATTCACATCATAATTTTATGATAAAGAGCAGTGGTTTAAATAGACTAGAAGTCGGCATTTCTGCCTTGATATCACAATAATCCATAACCACCTGCTGGCTATTCTGTTTTTCTATGCTAAAATTGTGCTGAATAGGAGGACATGATGTGAAGTGACAAAAATTTGCATTTGCTGTTGCCCTGAGATTGCCTGGCCTTTTATTCTGCATAGAGAAGCACCCTAGAATTAAAGATTTTGTATTGCTTATCTTGAATTGCATCCCTTAAGGTTTTGCTTATGTGTTCCTCCTCAGGCTCATCATTACACAATCCTTCTCACCTGCATCCCAAAAATTCACCATTCCTGTTTCTGGAATCTTCAGCATGACACCCACAACATTTATGTCTTAAGAAATACGGTGCCAAGCTCTCTGCCTATTGATCAGCTGCTTTAGAGTGCAAACCTGTGCTGAAAAATCAATATGTTTAAAGTAGATACAGATGATATCCCATAATAACTCAAATTATCACCTAAATAGAGTCACTATATACAAAGGAGGAAAAGCATCGTTACCTGCAATAAGCAGGTTCTGCAGAAGGAAGAATTTAGTAGGTGCAGCATGGCTCACAAGGGTTTGAGAAGCATTTTTTTTTTTTTTAAATTACCACCTAAATCAGGATACATATCTGGGATGGAATCTGCAGCAATATATTTTAGGCTACTTGTACTTTTATTCTGACTGTTCTGTGATGAGGCCTTGCCTGCTTAATTCCCATCCCCACCAAGTTATTAGCTATAGGCCTGTGCATGTCACTGTGAAGCTGAATATAATACAACCTGTTGCATTTGAGATGTGTTGGAATTCAATAATATAATTAATAGAAATGGAGGCTTGAAAAGAAGTAGGACTACATGAAAGGAGTTTAATATCCTATATAAGCCCTTCATGTGACTACACTTGTATAAGCCTGCTTAACCGTTAAGATCAGTTGCATTTGTCCTACTTGAGGGCCTGTCAGAAAGATCCACAGGACTGGCAGGCAGAGGACAGCAGGGTCTTTTCTTTGGTGGCCCCATCATTATGGAGATGCATTGGATGCTTTAAAGACTTCTTCACAGATGTTCTATCGGTGTAACTGAAGAATAGCCAGTGCTTTTAACTGGTTGTTTTAACCTTGATATCTTACATGCAGGCTTTTCATTGATTTGTTTAATGTTTATTCTTGTTGTGATTTTTATTACAATTTTATTGTAATTTTTTTATGAGTTTTTTAAAATATAAAATGTCTTGGCTATCTAATTCTAAAAGGTGGCACATCAATATTTAACATACACACACAAAATAAATGCATCACTGAATCTGGGAAACAGATTTCGAGAAGACAACAAATGTTTCTTTTCTCAAACGATGAAGACAATCTGTGATCTGACTCCTATGGTAGCTCTAATATATACAATAGAACTTACTGGGCCCCATCACATTTTAGGGTAGGGTGAATTGGGGTGAGTAGGTACAATTGAGGAAAGGAAACCGGTGTGTCAAGAATTCTATTTGGTTTGGTTTAATTATGGCAAAAGGCAGGGGACTACTTGTGTGTCCAAAGCAATGTACTGCAGAGTTAAGTCTGAGTAACGTAATGTTCCAAAAAACTAGTTTTGTGGGAAGAATGAGCCTTCCTGTTATGTGCATTGCATACATCTTGGCTAAAACGCAACTACTTAAGCTCATGCATAAATAATCTACCAAGCTCAGTAGCATTTAGAATTGCTAGTCTTTCATCTTGGTTCAAAAAGAAGTCACCATTTTGGAACTGACCATGGAAAACAAGGAGATTTTGCTCCATCTGAGAGGTGAATTTAATGGTTGGGCCAGAATACATCAACCTCATCAGTGTCCCATTTCTCTTTTTTGCAGCCGCTGATGGCATTGTAGAGAAGCTTGTTGTGGATGCTGTTGAGGATTCCAGGGTCCAAGGAATGACAATGACTAGAAAGAGTGCATGGATGCCACATTCCAGTGAACACCCAAGAATGTCTCGGCCAGCTAACCTAGCCCCACTCCAGGTCATCTTCATTTTGTTGTTTTTGTGCTGGGATGTACTTAGTCGGGCTCTGCCCATTGCCCCAGATTATTTTCAGCGTGGCTGGCAAAGGCTTCTGGAGGAAGGGGAGAGCTGTGTGGAATGTAGATTGGAAGACTGTCCCATCCCACGTGGCTGCCTTGCTGGAGTGGTGCTGGATGCCTGTGATTGCTGTTGGGAGTGCGCCAATCTAGAGGGACAGATCTGTGACTTGGACAATACCAACCACTTCTATGGCAAATGTGGAGATCACTTGGAGTGCCGCCTTGATTCTGGGGATCTACGGCATGGAGAGGTGCCTGAACCCCAGTGCGCTTGCCTATCCAACCAGGCACTCTGTGGCTCTGATTCCAAGACCTATGCACAAATCTGTAAATTCCAAGAAGTGCGTAACTCCAAGCCAGAGATTAATCTCACTGTGGCCCACGAAGGACCCTGTGAATCAGGTAAGAGCCACCACAAGCTCTCTCAGTATTTCTATAATAAACCACAATAACTGGGTTTTTGAAAATAAAATAGGAAGCCACAATTTCCCCATTCTTCCATTCCAAGAACAAGGTACATCTGGTGAAGTTAAGAGGCCGACAGCTGGTCAAATGAGAAGTTGCTCATCAGAAGCTACCTATTTTTTGCCCATTTAGCCCAGTGCCATTGTCCTTAGGGTCTTAGACAGAGCCTTTCCCATGATCTTCTCTGTGATCCTTTTAACTGTACACACCAAGGAATGCACTTGGGACTTTTTGCATGCAAAGCATGTGCACTGTCACTGATACATGGCTCACCCTAGCTGTGATGCGCATGCATCAGCACACAGAAAAGACATTTCGTTCTGTTCTATGTTATCCTGTGAGGACCAAGTTCACAGGGGTTTTCTCAGAGGGTTTCATCCTTGGTTAAGGTTTTGTTGTTGTCTGCAATGGGCATATCCGGGTGATCCAATCTTCAGTGCATAGGGTGAACCCATACAAGAAATAGCTGAGATTTTGCAAGGACAACTTCCCAAAAGTTATTCTTTGGGTAAAACTGAGATTTCAAATCTGCAAAAGCAGATTCAACAACTAACAGTTTGGTCTAGTAAAGCACTTTGTGACACGGTATCCTACATTTCCTGACCTTATTTGCCGGCTGCAGCAGTTGCTAATGATATGGAGTGGGGCAAAGAAGGTGGAGATATTGTGATGACAGCACTACAGGTTGTGGTAACCTTGGGGAGGGTGGAGGAGAACTAGACATGGAACTGCTGTTTACAGTGATGTCTATTTTGGCCTTGAAAATAAAGGAGCGTGGAGAGGGAGCAGTGGTGGCTCCAGGTTCTTGAAAGCTATGGCCAAGAGGCCCTCAATGGCCTCTTTCTTGCTGTGAGTCTCTCTTCTCACCAGTATCATTGCCAAGTGCTAGTCCTCCTCATGTTTTCTCATGGCTGTTACTGCTTGCTTGCAAGGCAGAAGTCCAGTGAGCTACACTTGACACCTGCCCTGCGGTGTGTATCTTGAAACAGATGAATAAAATTTGATGTTCTAATGGGTTGAGAGGAAGCTATTAAAAGAAATCATGGCCATTTGGGATAAAGCACTAGAGGTGGCCAAGACTGTGGCACTGGGAATGGTAAATTAATCGCTAATGTATGGCCTCACAACACTGCAATAACTGGAAAACTGTAGTGAAAGACGAGAAGCTGCGTCCTACTAGGTTACAGACTGTGTTCACAATCCTGAGTTCAAGGACTGAGTATGTGTAGAAGGTAGGCTGTCATTGGACCATGGGTTGTTGCTGAAACATGTCTGAACCCACAGTTCATAACCCAACAACAAACCATGGGTTCTCTTCATTGTCTGTGGTTAACAAGTCATGGGTTGTTTGTGCAGCTAGGTTCAGGCAACATGAACATGATCACCCATGTTTCAGCAACCCGAAGCACAAGGGAAACCCATCTCAACCCATAGTCAACCACTGAGTGTGGGATACAGTGTTGTCCTAACCCAGTCAGTTTGTCCATTTAGGTAAGTATTTTCTGCTCTGTCTGGCAGCAGCTCTCTAAGATCTCAAATATAAGGCTGTCTCACCACCTGCTACTCGGTCATCAAAAGGCAAAGTAAAACTGAAGACAGCAGGGATTAAATCTGGTAACTTCTGTATGCAAAGCATGTACTCTAACACTGAATGACAGTCCTTCCCCAGACATCAAACCTAAAAATAGGAGAAAAATGAAGGAACTGCGAAGCTTAAAATCAAAGCAAAGGCTCTGACAAAGCAGACTGATTAGCAGTTGCCATAAGGTTGTCATGTTTCCCCAGCAACAGGATGCAGAAGCAGCATCCCTAGGAAGCACTTCATTTAAATGGCTGTGACAAAGCACCGGACCATCGTTTAGGGGCCAAGGGCCCTGGTTCACAGATGTGCCATGATGCAAACATGTTATTTACTAATAGCTGCTGGTGGGCATGACAAAGGAGGACTATTTTGCCCAATCATAAAAATTCTGGATTCTTTGGAAGGAAATAAAAGCCCAGTACAATGTGCTGAAGTATTGATGATGATGATGATGATGATGATGATGATGATGATGATGATGTCAAAACCTAAAATTGATAGGGGCTCTACAAAATTTTAAAAGAACAAAAGCCCTGCCCTCAGGCTTCCAAACTAAAGGAAAACAACATTACCCCATAGGATAAAAGCATGTTGTAGGGGATGCTTGGAATAAGATCTTAGCTAGACCAAGTTGGGTGAACTCATGAATCTAGCATGAAGAAGTGTTTTCATAAGCAGATTCTTCTCAAATCTGTCTTGGTTCTTCCCAGAGCCCCACATCATATCTCCTCCATATGACATTTGGAACGTCACTGGGCAAGATGTGATCTTTGGCTGTGAGGTCTTTGCATACCCCATGGCATCTATTGAATGGAGAAAGGAGGGACTGGACATGCTGCTTCCTGGAGATGACCCCCACATTTCAGTTCAGGTGAGCTGGATGACCTAGCAAGTATTCAGGAGGGTGGGAATGGTTTGGATATATGGACAGTGTATGAAGTTGTATTTTAATCATCCCTGATTACTCAGGTTTTTTGTGGACTTGCTACACCTCCTTTTAGCAGCTGCCTCCCATTATTAAGATCTTCTATCCCATGTGGTTAACTTTAGGTCTTCTGCTGTCCTGCTTGCTGTTGTGTTGCTGTGCCTCCAACCTGAGAGCCTGCTTTAGACATGGGAAAATCAGTCTGTTTTTCCAGATGAGCTTCTCTTTTCCCTGGATCACCTCTTAGGGTTGCTGAAAGTACAACTGCATCCCTAGGATCTATCCTGTTCCCTATCCCATCTTCTTTCTTGCTGTGAGGTTTCATTGTCTTCTCTTTTTTTAAGGTCCCTTCTTCCTCAGAAGGGTTAACGGGCTTGGAGATTTAGCCCAAAATAGACCTTGAGAGACTCTAGGGCAGCCACTGTTATACCCATCCATTTAGAGGGTGTGTAAGGAAGTCCTGAGAAACTTTTATAGAAACTACAATTCTGCGCTATTATATGGAGTGTTTGGGTGAGGCAAAAATATGTGTCACTGCCAAATTAAGAGGCTGGAGTGGCTCTGTGTTATGGGTGGGGAGTGGAGGGAAAGTAGCATAATGCTTGTGATAGTATTTCAAATTTAGACTGAATGCCACTTCACCTGACTGTGCTTGGTGGCTATACATCAATTGTCCCTTTGATACCAGATGCCTCAAGCACACTGACACTGGTCCAAGGAAGCAGATGAAGGGATAAAACTGAACCAATTAAAACTGGCACCAGGAATTGTTTTCCTGCAGGGAAATGTTAAATCAATGGTGTGATATGCAGAAGGAAACAGCATAGCCAGGAGTTAATTAAAAACAGTTGCGCAAAACACTAGAGAATATATTGCATAGAAAAATGTTCACTGGGAGGGTATTGGCCTTAAGCCAGATGAGGCTATCAAGGTTACTGCTAAATCACTACTGAATGTTGGGATTCTACCTGGATTATAAGGATGCAATGCTATTTATATTTACCTGGGTATAAACCCCACTGAACACAGTAGGATGCACTTCTTGTAGGCATTAATAGAATTGCACAATAAATTGGTTTCACTGGGGCAATTGCTTTGTTAGGTTAGGTTACTTTACCAATTCTGAAAAGCTGCCTGACTGTGTCTATGCATTCTATAATCTATTGGATGAATATAAAAACATTTGAAATCCATGCTGGATCAGACTAAAGCTCCTTCTAGTCCAGCACTCTGTACACATGGTGGCAAGCCAGCTGGGATCCCTCAAGCAGGATGGGTGCAAGACCTCCTCCTGCCCAAGCACCTCAGCAACTGGTATATGCAGGCAGGCCAGCCCCGCTGAAGGAGGTCGCACATGACCAGCAAGGCTAGTAGCTACTGATGTCCTCCTCCCTCATGAATCTGTTCAATCCCCTTTTAAAGCCACCCAGATTGGTGGCCATCACCACTTCCCATGACAGTACTCTATGTGAAGAAGCACTTCCTTTTACCTGTCCTAAGCTTCCCACCAATCAGCTTCATGGGATGACCCTGGCTTTGAGTGTTATGGGGAAGGGAGAAAAATGTCTCCTTCTCTACTTTCTCTACCCCATGCATTATTTTGAACACCTCTATCATGTCTCCCCTTACTCACTTTTTTCCTAAGCTAAACAATCCACTTGTTGTAGCTGCTTCCCACAGGGGAGCTGCTTCAGTCCCCTGGGCATTTTGTTGTCCTTCTCTGTACTTTTTCCTACACAATAATGTCCTTTTTCAGGTAAGGTGACCGGAACTGAACACAATATTCTAAGTGTGGTCATGCCAAGATTTGTATAAAGGAAATGAGATTTTGGGATTTCTTTTTTCTGTTCTGTTCCTAATGTCTAGCATGCCTTCTTTGCAGCAGCTGTGCACAAGACCGGCATTTTCATTGAGTTGCCCGCTACTACCCCGAGATACCTTACTTGCTCAGTCTGTGCTAGTTCAGATCCCATCCTCGTATGCTTGAAATTCATTTTTTTTTTGTTCCAACATGCATTACTCTACAGCTGCTTACACTAACCGCATTTGCCATTTTGATGCTCATTATCCCAGCTTGCAGAAATCCCTTTGGAACGCCTCAAAATTCCGTTTTGTTTTAACCACCTTAAAATGTTTAATGTCATCACAACTCACTCCTAATTCCAGATCACTTGTGAATAGGTTGGAAAGCATTGGTCCTCATAAAGAATGTACTACACCATAATGGAAAGTGCCGTTTTTCTAACCCGAACCCTAAACTGGGGAAGAGCGCTACTACTAATAAGGGGCTGAAATATATCTGGTGGCATGGTCTGGGATGTGGGCAGCTGGCTATCAGATCAGGGCACCAGGTACCAGACAACAGGTACACTATGAGGGCCTATTCCAAATCGCAGTCAAGCAGTCCAGAGGTCAAGGCCAGTAACAGAAGTACAAGGTAAGTCAGTCCGAAAAGAAAAGAGTAGTCAAAGCTGGTCAGGAGTCGAAAGCCAGAGAGACAAACCAAGGAGAAGCAGGTGCCTGGGAGGGGAGCAGAAGGTGGAGCAGGTGAAGATTGGGAAGGTGGGCAAGGTCCAGAAGTGGAGGCAGGAACAGGGGGATGGGCAAAGTTTCCAGAAACAGGTTCCAGAAGGCACAGGGAGCTAAAACAATGTCAAAAACTTTCATTGCTGAGGCAGCACCTGGAAGGAAGGGTCGGTTCTTATATAGCTCTTCCCTCAGGGCTCCCAGGTGGTGCTCGGAAAAGCCCTGGTGCTGCAGTTGACTGTACGCCCAGTCCTGCAACCACCAGGGCTGCTATTCTGGTCTCTGGCCAGAAGAGAGAGACCTGACGTTGCCTCAGAACCTCACACCTGGCGCAGTAGGAATTTCCAAAATGTTCAGTGCCAAGGAGATTTTTCAACACAAGTCAATTGTTCTGCCCTTTCCAAAAACTCTACAAGTGTTTACACCATACAGGGAAGCACCGTTTTTCGAATCCCAAGCATAAGCTGGGCATGGTCCCTAACCCTAAAACTGGGATAAAATATACCTGCACCGATATGGATTTTGAAAATGTCCACATCTTAGAGATGTTTCTGCACAGCTTGTTAGTTCGACTGTTCGTGAACACCACCCAAGTCTTTTGATGGTCCAGGAAAGCATCGTTTTTCTAATCGTAACCCTGAGCTGGGCATGGCCCCAATCCTAAAAAGGGACTTAAATATACCTGATCTAAAAGGGATTGTCAAATTGCCCACTTCCTGGAGATTTTTCTGCACAGCTCAATCTCTCTGCCCTTCCTGACCACCCTCCTGGCCTTTGCACCATTGTGGAAAGCATTGTTTTTCTAACCCTAGCTCTAAGCTGGGCAAGAAACCTAGCCCCCAAAATAGGATGAATTACCTGGGGCAATTAGAATTTCCACAATGTTAACTTACTGGAGATTTTTCAGTACAGCACAACATTTCTGCCTCCCAAAACATGCTCTAGGCATTAGCACGATCCTAGGAATTGAAGTTTTAATAATGCTGACCCTCAACTGGGCATGAGCGCAAACACTAAAAATGGGCTAAAATATACCTGTTTGTTAGACATTTCAATAATGTCCACTTCCTGGAGAAGCACAGCTCAGTCTTTATAGCCTTCCAGAACATCTTGCAGACCCTTGCACTATCATGTAAAGCATAATTTGATAATCCTGAACCCTAAAAATAGGATACAATATACCTGTCTCAATAGGAATTTCCAAAACATCCACTTCAATTTTTCTGCATGATGCTTCCCAGGATGGTGAAAGGGCTGTAGGGTGGTCAGGATGGGCAGAAAGATTGAGCTGGGGAGAAAAACCTATAGGAAGTGGACATTTTGGAAATGCGTATTCTGGCAGGTATATTTTAGACTTTTTTTTAGGGTTCTGGCTCATGGCAAGCTTACAGTTAGAATAACCAAAAAAAAAAAAAAAAATGCCACAGGGAAAGAGGGGAGTTATGTCAGCCATGGGAGGACAAATGTCAAGAAATAATTTCTTTCTCTGTCTCTGAGACTGACAATGAAACAGAGCAACTGGGAAGACTGGAGATTTTTTCAGATAAACCATTCAGCTTAATTCACCCTCCTTAAGAGTGGGAAATAACAGAACCTTTGAAATTCCAATGTGCCTTTTTCTAAATATACAACAAAAGCAAATACATTAACTAATATACTATAGAGCAGTCTTCCCTAACTTGATATCCTGCATACAACAAAACCAGCTGGCTGGAGATGATAGGAGGATGTCCTGTAATTCAAGACTTCTGGAAGATAACAGGTTTGAAAAATCTGCTTTAGAAATAGACTGTGCAGTTAATATTATGTATATTATTATTATAATATAATACTCTCCTGAATAAAATGGCAGAGAGAACAATGTACCCAGTAAGATGTAGTTCTGGATTAACAGTAGTTTAGATTTCTCTGCAGCAACTAATTTATACTATAGAAACACTATCTCAATAGTTCTTCAGAAATATTTAAGCTATCATCCTATAACAATGTACCTGGGAATAAATGCTATTGAACTCAGTGGGATTGATTTCTAAGTAAACATATATAGGATGGCACTCTTAAACAGCTTCCAAGGAGCAGTCAGCCAACTAGAAAGATTTTTTAAAGCACACGCTTGTATCTTCCAGCTGCTATCTTATTGATGTTTAATTCACTTCAGTTTAGGGGAGGCCCTCAGAAATATGAGGTGACTAGCTGGCTCCAGATCCAAGGAGTGAGGATAACAGACGAAGGAACGTATTGCTGCTTTGCAAGGAACAACGTTGGGCAAGTGGCAGCCCCTGCCAACCTTATGGTTCTTACTGCTGGTAAGTGGTAATTTTTTTTTCAGGCTAATTCCGACAGTTTAGGGTTAGCATGCTAGACACTCTTCTCCATGTTCACAATCCCCAGCAGATTCTCCTTGGTTTGCTAGGTCTTTTATCTTTCCCTTTTCTGAGTTATCTGATATTCAGATTGTTGCAGCTATTAGTACTACTCCACTACTCAATGTTTCATATGTTTTGTGTAAAGAACTGCATTTTGACTGAATTAAAATACTATCTAATGTTTTCACTTCTACTGATTATACCAACTAGACATGTTACTTTTGGGTCCAGAAAAATATTGTTTATTTGAAATTGCAAATCATAATTCTAAATGTATGGAATACTTTTTTTAACTTTGCACACTCAGGGCAGAACTGTACATTGCAAAAACATAAAGCTTTTACTGTGTTTCCAGTTCCCTGAGCTGAACGAGTATCATGTCCTGGTATCATTACATTCAGTTTTATCTTGCCTGTGTCCCTGGCAACCAACCCTATGAAGAAAAGATAAAAAAAGTACTCAAAATAGTGATGTTAAAAAATTCCATAAAGTGGCTAGAGAAATGGGACTTCATATAGATTTAAATATGTTTTTAAGTTATCATAAATGGAAAAAAATGTGGGGGCTGACCCAGCAGGCCCGATGTTTTTGATGATTGATATTATTTTTAGTTTTTCTTTGTTTTTAGGATTATAATTTTGAATAAAACTTATAAAAAAATCCATAAAGTGAACTTTGCATTGGAGGGGGAACTGGGAATCCAGTGAGGGGCGGGCGCTGTCAATTTCATTTGCTATTATGTGTTTTCTGTATTGATGAATTCCTTTTTAAGGCCATAAACACAGGCCTGAGCATTCCTGTGGTTGAAGCCATTCAGAATTTCTAGATCAAAATTCTACTTTCTCTCTAATATACTAAGATCTCCCTTCTGTATTTAATAAAAAGTAGGAATATAATTAACAATTTTCAGCCTATATCAGGTTAAGTGCGCTATTATCTCTAGCATTAGTGATTACTCGATTTATAGCTTCAGTTGAAAGCAATGCAAACTATACATGCTAATTGTTGACAAACTGTTTATTTTTTATATTATAAAAAATAATTTAAAATAAAAATTTTTATTATAATGGTTATTTGTAAAAAGCTGGTAGTATGAGAGACCTGGAAAGCATCCAAAAAGGACTGGAAAAGAGAAAGAACCACCTGTCTGATTTGTAAACAGACTCCTAAAATGACTGGATTTAAACACTTTCTGAATCAAAAAGTTACTTTTTGAGGAAACTTGCCTCATGCAGCACCAGAAATCTGTGCATTCCAGTGTCCTTCTAAAAATTAGCTGGGGCAAGACATCTCAAGCTGTTAAGAAGAGAAGTGGGCCACACTTTTGTAATATTGGGAAGAAATTAATGAATGAATCCAAATGTCCCCCATAATGAAGGACAAGTATTAAAGGACATAAACTTTTTACAAGGGCTTATCACTTGTGCCTTGTACTTGCAGATCAGCTGAACATGACCAAAATGGACCTTCCCAAGTTGCCCAAACTTGAACCAGATGATTACATGGAGAGTGATGAGTCATATGACTATTATTGATGGCATCCATGGGGAACAAGAGCTGTCAGAGTGCAGTGATATTTGCATCTTTTCTTGCTTGAGTATTTGTCTCCATCTCAGTTGTATCCCCAGACTTCCAGGATAACCAATACTGCGCCTATGTGCTATGGACAGTTTTGGTCTCAATTCATTTTGGGCTGGGGAAAATAAAGGTACTTTTTCATTTGACCCATCCCTTTTGCTGGATGGTGGTGACAGCAAGCATGTGGGAGGGAAGGAACGATTGCATATAGCCATAGAGTGAATGGACATTAAAAGGTACTTTGATCACCCTCTAGAGAAGAGTACTTTCTTTAACCTGATGCACCACTCTCACTTAAGGCTCCACCTTCCTAGTTCACCTGCTCAGATTATATGGTTTCATCTCAGTAATTTGATGGATACAGCACAGACTCTGGAAAAGAGATGAAGCCATGAGCCCCTTTCAGGGCCGGCCCTTTCAGGAGGTGGCAGTGAAGGCCTGCCTCAGGTACCAATGCAGCAGAAGTACTGAGCTGCTGTCATCTGTGCCTTCATCTGTGCCCACCAGGAGGGTCCACTGCCCCCAGAGAGTGACCAGCAGGGCTTTCTCGGAAAGCTTCCTTCCAGACAGCTGCATCAGCCAAGGAAGGGGCTGCTATGGCTCTTCAGAAAGAGGAGTCCCTCCTCAGAACTAGTGGGACAGGTGTCCCATCTCCTGAGACATGCTCTCATGTTTGGTTCTGAAGGACTCCCCCAGAGCCAACTATCTTGGCTTGGCCAGCTCTCTGAAGAGCAAAGCTTGTTTCTTCCTCCAACTGCACAGCTTGAAGAGGTAAGGATAAAGGGGAAGGGGGCAATGCAGTGAAGGGAAGGGAAAGAGTGTGGTGTAATAAAGGAAAGGGTGAGAGTATGAAATGGTAAAGGGAATGGGGCACGACATGGAAAAGGGATGAGCTTGTGTGTTGTGGTCAGGGGAAGTAGGTAGATGCGACATAGTGACATAGGGTATGGTATGGTATGACAAAGGAGAAAAAAAGTGGGATGGGACATAGTGAGGAAGGGGGTGGTGCGATTGGGTGGAGGGGGCAAGATACAGCAGCATGTGTACTCTCCTTCCTCAGCAACGGGAGGGCTTCAGAAAGGGGCCGGTCTCAGTTTATGAAAGGAATTCAGTCTGTCTTAAACTCACTGGAAACTCTAGCAGAACATAGGCCTACTTGGCCAGCTGGTATGAAACAACAGGGGCAAAGAGAGTAAATTACATTACTCAAAGTAGGAAACACCTGAAAGAGTTTGGGAATGGGGTTTATTGTTGGGGCAGGAGAGGGAGAAAATCAGCTGGGTCACATTTAATGCAAACTTATCTAATTTTGCACTTCCAAACCATTATGTGAACCAAATCTCAGGTATCCTTTGAAAGGTGTACCTCAGTGTATTTTGCAATAGAGTTCTCTGATCAAAAATGTGTACAAATATATCTAATAGCAGACATAATGTTAACATGCATTATATTAGGAACACTGCTTGCAAAAATGTGCATTTCAGGCAAAATTGTGTGCAAAATCTGTATATTAGGGGATGTGCAAACAAAGATATATACAAATGTTCATTCAAACTCTAAAACACAAACTTAAAGTACAGGCTGAAACAAACATACATTTGATAAAATAAGAACACTGAGAGAAAACAAAGTTGGCAGGTTCATTCATCCCTAGGTTTTAGATGATACCTATCATCCAAGTTCTGGCAAAACACAAATGTGAATAGGATGAGGAGGGCAGGATATTATATTTAGAGATGCAACTCTGTAAGAACACAGGGTTTTCTCCTTGGGGAAAGATGTCACACTAGTAAATGGCATCACACACTATTAAACAGACTGCAGGTGAATCCCCTCAAGCACAGTAACATCTGCCAGTGCCTCCACAGGCCAAACCTGGAACTGTGGATGTAACTGGATTGCATCCTGACTGGATAACAGGCAGTTCAGGCTTTGAACTCTGAGTTAGATTCACCCTGTGTAAAAACTCTGCAGTCTGAAGGCAACTGTTCTCAAAGCTGAAGTCCAGAAGGATATCCTGGCAGGAAAATGTAACCTTGCTTGGTGAGCCACACAAGTCCAGGAAAGGAGAGTCAATGTGGTATAGTAGTGTGAATGCTAGACTATGGCCTATGACGCCAGCATTCAGATCCCTGTTCAGTCATTAGATTTGCTTGTGTCTTTGGGATAGTTACTTTCTCTCAGCTTAACCCACCACACCATACTGTTGTGCAGCTAAAAAATGAGAAACCAGGTGAACTATTTGGAAGAGGGTGTGATAAAAATGTACTAAATAAATGGAGCACTGGAGTTCTTTCCAAGCCTAGTAGAAACCTAGCACCTCTGATATTGGTAACATGGTTAAATTGCCATGCAATTTCTTCCCAAATAGCTTAGGTTTTAGCAGGCTGAGCTGAAGGAGATGAGAGGGAGAACAGGGCTGTTCCACCAACCTTGCTGAAAGGCATCCCTCACAAAAGCACATCCTTCCTCGGCTGTCACTACCAGCAGTCATTCCAAAAGCCTGATGATGAGATGGAGAACTATCAGCCCTTCCTTCTTCCTTCATCTTCTCTCTCTCTCTCCCTCTCCCTCTCCCTCTCCCTCTCCCTCTTTCTTTCTTTCTTTCTTTCTTTCTTTCTTTCTTTCTTTCTTTCTTTGTCATAACTCTTTTTAGATTGTAAATCTAAAAAACAGGGTCAAACTTGTTTAATTGATTATATGCAAGCCATATAATCAAATAATATAAAAGGCATACTTTTATGCCTTTTTTGGCATGAAAGTATTTCAAACAAATAAATAAGATACAGAGCAGGACTTCCTACCTGCTTCTCTATAGGCTCCCAGTTTGAGTTCAGCTGCTCCAACTTTTATACCATCTGTTCCAGATGCTGCCTTTATTCCAGTTCTCTCTAGTTCACCTGCTTTCTTTCTATTCCATTTTTCTTAAAAACTTCAAGTAAGCCTGTAATACATACTTATCAGAAGATTGCTAAGTAGGGTCCCATGGCAAGAGGTTGCAATCTGAAAAGAAGTCCAGGATGCATGGGAATTTTTTTTTAAAAAGACTCTTCTAAAGGTGCAATTACAAACAACTCCAATATGAGGGGAAAAGGGTAGAAGACAACAAAGAAGCCAATGTGGCTTCATAAAGTGCAGAGATGACCTGAAAACAGGAAGAACACACACAGGGAATGGAAGGAAGGTCACTCTACCAAGTAAGAGTACAGGCAGCTAGCACAGAATTGCAGGGATGGCATCAGAAGGTTGAAACTGATTATACACTGAAGTTAGCAAGGTTCAGATTAGGTTGGGATGAACCTTTTTGGGATCTGTCCCTCTAGACAAAATAAGCCGAGCCAAGGGGAAGTCTGTGAATGTTCATGGACCCTTGTTGCACAACAGAAAACCTTCCCTGTCAGTGCAGTCCCTCAAAGAGAGGCTGCAGTAAGCATGCCAAGTGCCATTCCCAGGGACAGTCTTCCCTGTCCACTGCTGCCAGTGCCGAACATGGAAGAGGGGTGTTGCTTGCACAGCATGTGGGGTTTGAGTCTTGGTGAGTACCCCACAAATGCTAGACTGCCCAATCTGGATTGCTGCAACATAAACCAGAGTCTAAAAAGCTGAGTCCATGGAATCTGATAGATTCCAATCCAAATAGATTCTTTCCATATTCCTAGTTCAGATGCATGCATAGAAAAATACAGAGGACAGAATCAGTGGTTCAACTACTCAGTCAGAATGTCAAAATACTGACAGATGACAGAGAAAAGGCAGAAGTGCTAAATTTCTACTTTGGCTCAGTTTTTTCCCAAAAGAAAGACTTATGGCCTCCCTGGCAAAGGAGAATTATATATTGAAGAGGCAGCTTGTGACTGATGGGCAAATAGTCAAAAAGGCCCATCTAATTACTTCAAATGAGTTCAAATCTCCAGGGCCCAATGAACTGTATCCTAGAGTAATAAATGAACTGGAAGAAGAACTTGCAAAACCATGGGCTTTGAGAAATCATGGAAAACAGATGAAGTACCCTATGACTGGAGGAGGGCTAATGTTGTCCCTGTCTTCAAGAAGGGGGAAAAAGAGGAATCTGGGAACTACAGATCAGTGAAATCTGAACTACAGATCAGTCCCTGGGAAAATTCTGGAAGTGATTATAAAGCAGTCAGTCTGTGAACATCTTGAAGACAATGCAGTGATTATTAGAAGCCAACATGAATTTGTCAAGAACAAATCCTGCCAGACTAATCTGAACTCATTTTTTTTGATCAAGTAACCACCTGGTGGACTGTGGGAATTCTATAGCCATAATATAGCTTGACTTCACTGAAGCTTTGACAAACTGCCCCATTATATCCTGATTAGCAAACCAATGCAAAGTGGGCTAGGTGGAGCAACTGTCAGGTAGATCCACAGTTGGCTACAGAATTGGGCTCAAAGAGTGCTAATCAATGACACCTTCTCAAACTGGGAAGCAGTAATGACTGGATTAGCATAGCATTCAGTCCTGGGCCTAGTGCTGTTCAACATTTCATCAATGTTTGGATGATGAGTTTCAGGGAATGCTTATCTTATTTGCAAATGATACAAAACTGGCTGGCATAGCTAATGCCCTGGAAGACAGAAAAACATGCAAAGTTAACTTGATAGGTTGGAGCACTGGGCTGAAGACAACAGAATGAAATTTAATAGAGACAAATGCCAAGTTCTGCACCTAGCAAAAAGAAATCTAACGCATCATTACAAGATGGACAATACTACTATAGTACAAGTAAAAAGCATCTTGGAATTGTAGATTAGAAGCTGAATATGAGGCAGTGATATGATGTGGCTTCACCAAAAAAAAAAAAGGAAAGGAAAGGAAAAAAGAAAGAAAGAAAGAAAAAAGCCCTCAAACAAAGCAACAACAACAAAGAATGTTATTTTGGGCTGCATTAATAGATGTATCAGTTCCAAAGTACCAGTACATGAAGTACTAGCACCTCTCTCTACTTAGCACTGCTTAGCCTTATTTACTGTGTCCAGTTCTAGCCATGACGG